TTCTAGTTCTCTTGTATAGGAGTTTACTTTGTTGATACTCAGATATTTAACTAGCAGCCTAAAGAAATAGTGCTTCTCATAGTTTTGGAATGTGTGTAAACAAACTTGTGTGGCCAGCCAGAACTAGAAGTTTCCCTGTGGGAATCATTGTGTGTGTTGTACAGTTGTAAATGCAAATTGATAGTTACCAAAAATTCTAATATACTAAGCAAGTTGGTATTAGAGTCTGTGACTAATTTGTCATTGAATAAGTCATGAACATTGATTTTGTTTCTACTCAGTGCCACTTTGTACTTAGGTAGGAGAGAGGTATCATTAGGATATGATCTCAGCATTTTGGGGTCATTACAAGAAGATATTTACAATTCACCATTGCATAAATACATCTATCAGTGTTTTGGGCTGCCACTGTTACAGTTGAGGAATTTATGGGCTTATTTCAAAGGAAATACATGTTGAATAGACAATTGAGAAAAATGTGACACCACTTGTGTATTGTGTTTTAGACTAGAATTTAAATGTCTCAATATGCTGCTATAGACAAAGCAGTGTAACAGATGAGGTAAGGTACTTCATATTAATTTGATTATCATTAGATCATAGTAGCTTCCAGGGTTCTGGCAATGTTCTTTGTTACTCAGGTAGTATTGACAAGGGCATATTCACTCTGCTTGTTCAATTGTACAAATCATGATTTCTTAATTTTTCTGTGTATGTTATACTTCATTTGAATATTAAAAATATAGAGTTCTTGAATTTAAATATTATAAAATATTAAGATAGCTGCAATATAAACTTAAAGACAATTCTCCAAAAACTCTTAGCTGTTTATAGTTATTATTTTTTCCTTCATTAAGCAGTTCTTCAGTTGGTTTTCTCAGGACCAAGACAATGAATTGTATAGTTTCAGTTTGTAAATAATTTGCCCATGATCACAATTCTCTCTAACCATCATGTGTGTTGTTGTATTATTTTAAATAAAAGTAAAGGAAGTGAGTCAGCCAGTTGTTTAAAATACATATTAAAAAAAA